ATTGGAAAATCAAGTCAGTCATTAAGACTATTGTCATAATATCACACGACTTACAATCAGGGTGCACCTCAAAAATAATAAGACCTCCTCGAAAATAAGGCCAAGTGCTTATTTCGGGGGTCAAAAGAAAATAAGACACGCACCCCTATCTTATTTTCAAGGAAACACAGTATTGTTATTGTGCTTTAAAATGTTCAAAGTTCAAGTATCAAACAAATTAAAAAAAAGTGTTTGGAAGAAAATTGCAGCCAATTCAAGCATTTAATGTAATTTATATAATACATTGTCTATAGAGCTTGATTTTTGCTGCGTCCTTTATATTAAAAAGGAAGACGATCAAGAAGAATGCTTGAAGATTTTACTGCCAACTACTTAACTGTATGATTAATTTCAGTGGATGTCATCTAAGATTAATCTTTCTAAGGATAAATGAGTTAAAATCCACATGTCTTCGTTTAATCGTGCTTTAGAGAGCCCCTAATATGTTACCGGGCCCAGTCTATCTGGTTTTGCCAAATATAGTGATATAAATAATGAATTAATATTCATGTAATCCTAACTTTATTATAGAACTGGAGTAGAGATGAGAACATTTGTCTTGGACATTTTGCTCAAGTGACTGCTTAAATATTTGGACTAACCAGTTAATTCTAATTTTTATCTTAGACCGTACAGAAGAGGAAGAACAGTGGTCGGATGATTTCGTAAGTTTCTTCCCCGCTCACATATCTCCAGGGCATCAGCAGGGGTCGTCAAAACCAAGAGAGAAGCTGTCCCAAAGATCTTTTGGGCCAAGATGCTACAAGGACTACCAAAACCCAGTTTTATCCTAACAGGTTCATGCTATTGTAAGCAAGCCATGATCTCTGTTGTAAGCCGAAATACTTCTGCTAGCATCCCACCGTCTAGGAATGGATGCAATGGCCTGTCACCCAGTTAGAATATGATTGACCATTCCCATCTGAAAACAATCGTTAAAATCTATGTGTAGGGCCCAAAATTATGGGACTTTAGGTGATATTTGGGTGTCATTAACATAAGGGATTCTTTTAGCTGTTGAAACTCATAGCTCAT